ACCACAAAAAGAGCTACCCATGCATTTACATGCCAAAAAAAAAAAAAAACCCCACAAAAATAATAACAGTACCTATAAGAGCTCACAGCCAAAAAAATCTCAGCTCTTATGAATCTTTGACTTGCCTCAAAAATGAAACCAGAATAAAGAATTATCCATCTATTTTATAGCATAGGAACGGGTGCAAACTGTGTTGAGTGCCTCGGTAAATAAGACAGAGAAACTGGTTAATGCTTGGAAAACCCATGGCAAGCCTGTTTGGAGATTATTCAGTGTCATTGCTCTTGTCACCTCAACTGCCTTGGAATGCCTCAGCATTTCATCTTCCACCCGCCTTTGGCAGGCTGCAAGCTCTGATTTCTTATCTGAAAGAGGGTCCCGAGCATCTAGAACCTGTCCATTATCAGGTCCGGTATCAGGAACGCCGATACCTACCATAGAGTATGAGTGGTAGTATTTCCTTTCTATGCTCCGAAGGGATGAAGCCTTCTTCTCAAGCTCCTTTGATAAAGTTTCAGTTCGCTTTTTAATCTTGAGCTCCTCAGTTTGCTTAACGGATATCACATGAACAACATTGATAAAGCTCTTGATCGCTTCTGAAGCAACTGTATCAGGAACTCGGTCAAGAGCAAGCTTCCACTCATCACAAAAGGCAAATACAGTAGAGGGTTCCCTGCTGCCAGCAACATTGTCGTTGCTTATAGGGATAAGGGTGAGCTTGAACCAGCCATGGAGGGAACGAATAAAGTCCCTTTGAAATTTTATCAGGCGGTAGAAACTAGAATGCCAGGCGGAGACAGCAGACTCCAGATCACGGGTTGCCAGCCTATGCAGTTCAGAAGTAGAGTCACCTTTTCCAGATCTGTTTACAAGGCCACTTACTTGTTGCACAATGTGGTTCTGAACTTCATGGTACTGGTGCATTGACTTCCACATGTACATGAAGCTGCACCCAATAAAATGAAATGTGCATGTAAGGATAAGTTAAATAATTCTACCACAACTGTTTCAGTGCCCAGATATCGCAAGTTGCTCTACTATGATATGTTGAAATTCAGATTGCCAAGAAAGGAAAGTGGTGCAAATGGAAAATGTCATAAAACCCAATCATGATTATAAAGCCAACTTTTACAAATCTCACTTCAATTATCATGTATAGCATCTCTTATCTGCCAATCACTTGTGCGAGCAAATATGTTTCACTGGCACCACAACATGATCTGTCGAAACACTCAATAATAAAGAGGTCCAGCTCCCAACAGCCTCTGAGCAAACTATGATTACCTACCTGTTTGGCAGTAATGTTTTAGCTATAACCCCCACCCACCACCACCACAAACTGAGTCACTGACAACAGGGAAGCTATCGACAGCAACGAGTTAGCACCATAGATCTCCCAACTATTTTATGCCCTAATCAATAGTTTGAAATGAAGATGATAATAAGTTATAAAAAAACATTATATACTTGAGAACTGAATTCCAATTTAAATTTTAGAAATTCACTTTATTAAATATTAATATTTAGATTTCAAAATTGAATTTATAGTCTAATATAATTAATGAATTTGTCTAACATATGCCTTAAGGGTACAGAATAAGAATCTTAAAAAAATAACAGTAATATTTAATTTATCAATCACATAATTAAATATATCCATGTGGTAATGATACTAAAATTAATATTCACTTTAATAATTTTTTATTATAAAAGAGTGTATTTATTGCACTCTTATTCTATATCCTAAGATTTCATAATTAACTTTCAAATCTAAATATTAATATCTAATAAAATAAATTTTTTAATTTTAAATTAAATTTTAATTAAGTAGAATAATATAATTTAAAATTAAAATTAAAATTTATTCTGAAAATTAAACTGATATAACTCCGATTCAACCGTTAAAATTTGCCTTAAGAAATTTTCCCACCATAAATTTAAATTTGAAAATAATAGTTTCTTAATGAGTGTGTTGTTGAGTGTATTGAACTAAAGAGTGTACCACTTATTTTCCATATATATATATATATATAAGGAAAAAATGCTTTGTGCACCCCCCGGTTTGACACCCGGGGGTGCACATCCTTAATAATCGAATAATTTTAACAATAAAATTACAGATTTAACTTTAAAAGTCATTTTCCTCTCAATACCCTTTTTTCTTCTTGTCTCTCCATCTTCCTCTGTCGAACTCTTCTCCTTCCCTAAAACCAGATTTGCTTCACCCTTTTATTTATTTATTTATTTTTGGGCTGCTTGGCGATGACGATGCCCAGGGGTGCACACCCTTAATAACCGAATAATTTTAACAATAAAATTACAGATTTAACCTTAAAAGTCATTTTCCTCTCAATACCCTTTTTTCTTCTTGTCTCTCCATCTTCCTCTGTCGAACTCTTCTCCTTCCCTAAAACCAAATTTGCTTTACCCTTTTATTTATTTATTTATTTTTGGGCTGCTTGGCGATGGCGATGATGATGGTGGTGATGGTGACGATGGTGATGGAAAACAGAGGGATCTATGGTTCTGCCCCTCTCCTTCTATTTCAGTGGTGATGATGAGATGCAAGGAGATGGTTTCTGGGTTCCCTAGGAGAACCCAGACCGAGAGAGAGAAAGAAAAAAAAAAAAAAGGGGTCTAGGTTCTGGGTTCTCCGATGGGTTCTCTCGAGAATTCGAACAAAAAATAAAAAGAGAGTAAATTTGTAATTTTACTTTTAAAATTATTTGGTTAAGTGAAGTATGCACCCCTGGGTGTTGAACCGGGGTGTGCATGAATCATGGTCCTATATATAATCCTATCCATTTAGCTAGCTCTTACTGTTTGAATTGCATGGAAAGAACTCCCTTTTTTTCCCTTTTCTTTTGTATTTTAATGTTAAATTACACAACAAATAACCCTTTCCTACATTTCTCTTTTTCCTTCTTCCCGTTCAAAAGTAACAAGTCCAAAACCGACTCCAAAGCTTTCGACCAATGGGCCAATTCATATTCTTTTTTTTTTTAAATATTAAATTACACAACAAATAACTTTCTCAAAAAATAAATAAGTTCAAATTAATTACTATTATGGCTCAATCTCCATAACTTTTTTAAAAAAAGTGTTAATATCTGTTGTCTCTAAAATCTCCCTTTCTGGCTGCGTGGCAGATAAAACTACGAAGGCATGCCACTCACTTTGCTCAAAGTGAGAAAGAGGGATTCCCGATGACCCTCACTACTTCCAAGCGTGGAACTCGGCTGCAAGTCGATGGAAGAGCATCGGTTAAATAAATTATGAGATGCGCCCTGGTCAGACGATTGTCACAGAAACGAGGGTGCATTCTTGCATAAAGGTCCATAAATAATGCCCTGGAAGAACATCAGGGACTTCCCACAACTAGGACCAAAATATTAGTTTGTTGATCAAAATAAAAAAGGAAAATAAAGGAAAGGAGAAGAACGAGAGTGCATGGCAGGAAAACTAAATTGTAGAAAGAAAGCGTGATGCTGCTGCGAAAGCATGAAAATGTAGAAAACGAAATAAAAACTAAAGCGTAAAACTACACTTAAAAGAAGCTAAGAAGATGAATTTTGGGGCAAAGTGCAGTAAATTGAATTGCAAAAAAAACTAAATATATCGGGTGGAGATTTTCACAACGAAATAACAAAAATCAAAATTAAAACTAATGGCAGCGTAGAGCTAAAGACTAAATTAGGAAAGCTGTTTAAGAAAACTGGATTTAAACTAAGACATTGCTTGTAAAACTAAAATGTAGATAGCGTTGGGCTAGTTGTGTGAAAGGCTAGTCTCCTTCGCTTTGTTTCTTCTCTGCATACTTATAGCAATAAACACCCCTTGGCAGCATGCTTGGAGATTTGCAGCAGCAATCTTGAAAAACCAATGACAGCGTGATATCTGAAACAAATAGATTAGTCTGTTTGTGTTGCCGATTATCCTCCTAGAAGTTCACAACAAACGAACGGCTTTACTGTAGTTGTGGAAATAACCACTCAACTTTATCTAGAGAGATTTACTCCAACTGCTTTCAACCAATGAAATTCTTGTTAACATGGATGACACGTGGCACCATTCTATTTTTTTTGCAAAAATGGGTGTAAACAATATCTAAAAGTTTAAGATTTAAGTGTTAATTCTTTCCAGAAACTGGGATAGAGAAATAGAGTACAAGTTAGGATTTTTTACCACTTAGAGGCGCTCTTGTATTAATATATTAGGAAGGGCTATTCGGCTCTTGTAAATTTATACCTTTCACGTTGGAATGTTTATGGGTTTGGATATTTCTTGTACTTTGCTATTTAATAAATGTTACTTTTTTGCCATTAAAAAAAATGTTAACAATCTCTATTCTCAATCCCAGAATTAACATCTTCTTAATAAATGTTACCTTTTTGCCATTAAAAAAAAGAGTTAACAATCTCTATTCTCAATCCCCGAAAAAAAAAAATTTGTTAACAATCTCTATTCCCAGTCCCTCAATTAACATCTTCTTAATAAATGTTACCTTCTTGCCGTTCAAAAAAAAAAAAAAAAGTGTTAACAATCTCTATTCTCAATCCCTCAATTACCATCTTCTTAATAAATGTTACCTTTTTACCGTTCAAAAAAAAAGGTGTTAACAATCTCTATTTCAATCCCTCAATTAACATCTTCTTAATAAATGTTACTTTTTTGCATTTAAAAAAAAAATTGTTAACAATCTCTATTCTCAATCCCTCAATTAACATCTTCTTCTTCTTCTTCTCAATCCCTCAATTAACATCTTCTTAATAAATGTTACCTTTTGCCGTTCAAAAAAAAAAAGTGTTAACAATCTCAATTCTCAATCCCTCAATTTTCTTCTTCTTCTTCTTCTCCTTTTTCGATCCTAGGAACGGGACAAATAGCTTCTTCTTCTTCTTCTTCTCTTCTTCTAGCCTAGGAACGGGACAAACTGTGTCAAGTGAGACAGAGACATCATCTTCTAGCCTAGGAACGGGACAAACTGTGTCAAGTGAGACAGAGACATCTTCTAGCCTAGGAACTTCTTCTTCTTCTAGCCTAGGAACGGAACAAACTATCTCAAGTGAGATCTTCTTCTTCTTCTACTTCTTCTTTTTCTTCTAGCCTAAGAACGGGACAAACTGAGTCAAGTGAGACAGAGACATCTTCTTCTAGCCTAGGAACTTCTTCTTCTTCTTCTAGCCTAGGAACGAGACAAACTATGTCAAGTGAGACAGAGACATCTTCTTCTAGCCTAGGAACTTCTTCTTCTTCTGGCCTAGGAACGGGACAAACTGTGTCAAGTGTGACAGAGACATCTTCTAGCCTCGGAACTTCTTCTTCTTCTTCTAGCCTAGGAACGGGACAAACTGTGTCAAGTGAGACAGAGAGACCAATTAACTCTTCGAAAACCCTTGACAAGAATGGTTGGAGACTATTCAGTATCACAGCTCTTGTTTCCTCAATTGCCTTGGAAAGCCACAGGTTTTCATCTTCCATCCGCCTTTGGCAGGCTGCATGCTCTAATTTCTTATCTGCAAGAGGATCCTGACCTAAAACATGTCCATTATCTTTCCCTTCTATGCTCCGAAGGGTTGAAGCCTTCTTCTCAAGCTTCTTGATAGAGTTTCAGTTAACCTTTTAATCCTGTGCTCTTCGGTTTGCTTGATGGATATGTCATGGACAGCCTTGATAAAGCTCTTCATGGCTTCTGAGGCAACTGTTTCAAGAACTCCATCAAGAGCAAGCTTCCATGACTAATAAAGGCACATACGGTAGAGGGTTCCATGCTGCCTTCAACATTGTCGTTGCTTACAAGGATAAGGGTGAGCTCAAACCAGCCATCGAGGGAACGAATAAAGTCCCTCTGGAATTTTATCAGGCGGTAGAAACTAGAGCTCCAAGCAGAGACAACAGACTCCAGATCACGGGTTGCCAGCCTATGCAGTTCAGAAGTAGGGTCACCATTTCCAGATCTGTTTACAAGGCCACTTACTTGTTGCACAATGTGGTTCTGAGCTTCGTGGTACCGACACATTGACTTCCACATGTCCAAGAAGCTGCACTCAATAAAATGAAAAATGTATATAAGGATTTAAAGTCAAAAAATTCTACCACAACAGTTTCAGTATCCAGATATGCAAGTTGCTCTATAATGATATGTTGGAAATTTAGATTGCCAAGAAAGGAAAGTGGTGCAAACAGAAAATGAAGTAAAGGTGCAAATAAAGATGTCAACTTTGCATTTTTTCCTATTTAAAGATGTTAATTTTTTCAGTTTCTAAATAAGAATGTCAACTTTTAATTTTTTCTAAATAAAGATGTCAACTTTCAACTTTTTCTTTTTAAGGATGTCAACTTTCAACTTTTTCTTTTTAAGGATGTCAACTTTCAACCTTCTATATTTAAGGATTAATTGGGTGGTGATACTGAAATGACTAACATATTTTTTTAGGTTAAATACCTGAATTGACTCCTCAACTTTTATTTTTGAACCAATTCATCCTTGAACTTCAAAAAGCACCGAAAACATCCTTCAACTTCAATTTTCAGCACCAATTTCGTCCTTTTGTCAATTAAGTGCTAATGTAGCTAATTTATAAAGAAATAAATTAACTTTCATTTAATTTTATTAAGTCAAATCTTACCTATTATAATTATTTCCTAATTCATGAAAGAATTAACTAACTTTTATTTAATTTTATTAAATAAAAATAAAATAAAATAAAAATAATTTTTTGGCTCTTCTTCGTTGACCTTCTTTTTTGTTTAAATTATTAAAATAAACTATAATTATTTCCTAATTGATTCGTGCTGAAATTCGTGCTAAAAATTGAGGTTGAAGGATGTTTTTGGTACTTTCTGAAGTTCAAGGATGAATTGGTTCAAAAATAAAAGTTGAGGGACCAATTCAGGTATTTAACCTAAAAAAATAAGTTAGCCACATTAATATCACCACCTAATTAATCCTTAAAAAAAAAATTAAAAGTTGACATACGTAAATAGAAAAATTGAAAGTTGATATTGTTATTTAGAAAAAATTAAAAATTTATATCATTATTTAAAAACTAATAAAATTACCATTCTTAAATAAAAAATATATATATAATTGATATCTTTATTTACATCTTTACTGGCAGAAAATGTCATAAAACTCAATCATGCTTATAAAGCCAACTTTTACGAATCTCACTTTACGAATCTCACTTCAATTATCATGTATAGCGTTTCTTATCCGCCAACCACTTGTGCTAACAAATATGTTTTACTGGACCGCACCATGGTCTGTTGAAACACTCAATAATAGAGGTGTCCAGCTTCCAACAGCCTCTGAGCAAACCATAATTACCAACCTGTTTGGCAGTAATGTTTTAGCTAGAGCTAGGGGTGGGCAAAACCGGTTTTTGGTTAAAACCAAAATTGGTTTTAAAATAAACAATTTCTTTTTTTAATTTTAAGAATCAAAACTGAATCAAAATTATCAAAAATTGATCGGTTTGATTATCAATAAATTGGTTCGGTTTCAATTTTTGATAAATAAATAATAATCAATTATTTTTCTAATAATATATTATATTTTATCACATATTTTATCATATTTTGTCATTTTTATCTTAATTTTGGTTTTCAAGAAACTTATTTTTGGTTTTTAATTTTTAGAAAACTCAATCGAAACCAAACCAAAATATACTCAGTTAATATTAAAACCAAAAAAATAAAAACTAAAAACCATTAAAACCAAATTAAATTCACTTTTTCGATTCGATTTTCAGATAACCTATTGATTCGGTTTAAAATGCCCAACCCTAGCTAGAGCCCCACTCACCACCACCACAAACTGAGTCACTGACAACAAGGAACACTATAGGTCTCCCAACTATTTTATGCCCTAATCAACAGTTTGAAAAAAACGTTGACTACAATTATGATGTCAAGATATTCAGTACGCACTAGTCTAGCTCATCCAGGTCCGTCAACCTTGAAAAGAGAATGGTTGGTCCTATGATAGTTAACTCTAATTTTCGTAACTCCCAACCTACCGATCTGTCGAGGAGAAAGGATCAATGGATTAAAAGAAATGGTCATGGGGCTAGTGCAATACTGGGGCCTGTCTCTGATTTTAAAAATATATGCAAAAGCAATGGAACAATCCAGTGGAATTCAGGACACGTGCTTACCGAGTGAATAAATCAAGTGGCATACTAGAGCAATAACTCATAACGACTCACTTACCAGATCAGCACGTTTTACATAAGATAAAAAATCAGGCCAAGGTTCACCTCCCCAACAATAACTCAAAGTCATTAACAGTTTAACAAATTAAAGTTCTCATGTGTGCTAATCACCATTGGCGACAGAAGATTGAGTGAGTTCTCATCTTAACTAAAAGGGAAGAAGCAGAAGAAACATACCCACGACAGAGTTCTTCAAGCTGAGGAACAAGATCCCTGTCTCTAAGACCAATGATTGAAGTTGAGGTGGAGGAGACGCACTGAGAATATTTGACAATAATCAGTGAATGCAGTCTTTTTATAGAGGCCTTGCTATCAGTCTTTGCACCCTCTCTAGCCTACAATCAACAACAATCCATCACTACCGCATCACCACAAAAGATTTCAAATTTTAAATCAAATGTTTCATGGCATAAACCAAACGCAACAAAATGCTCCCTTTCCTTGTCTAGATAAAATATACAAGCCCATAGTATATTTAATTTAATTTAAAATGGAATAAAGTAAAATTGTAATTGAAACTAGGCTCTAAAACG